AAAATGTAACGTTCGTTATCCGTTGTAAGAGACTTTTATGAATTTATAAATACTTAAGATAAGTAGTTATAAACAAGGAAACACGCACTCCGTCGTAAGAGGATTGGAGAAATCGCTGAAGATTATACTTGCGAAATCGGAGTAACATCTATACTTTCACGGTGCCGGTGCGCAGCGCCTCTAGATAGTCCAGATCGATCGTTCTAGCAAACAGGTGGATTCTGAGGAAATAATAACGCGTAGCTAATGGATCTGCGATAATCGGAACTATAATGAGCGATGCGATGTTAACGCGTTAATCATGTTCGCGGTGCAACGGGCCGTGACTGTATCCGTGCACAGAGAGGCTGACCAAGATTATCCATTTCCGCTATCCATTTTATTCGGCATCATCCGGCTCGCTGCCCCGAAGCCGGCCGAGTCAAAGTCGCGCGATCAAATCGATCCGCGTCGACTGCGCGCTTCGTTTCTACCTGTCGGATCTGTCGCTTTGAGTACATTTACGCTTACAGCTGCATCGACTCCAATGAGCGTTAGGATCGGACCGCCCGCGACCGTTTGTGTTTCTGTCGGATCGTACGTGCCTGAAGAAAGGGGAACATCGATCGGGCGTTCGTGAGACTACCAAAAGAAATATGTACATTCGAAAAATATATATAGAAAGAATTCGCGAGAGAGATTCTGCGAATTGTGCCGTGACATACAATTTTAAAATAAGATACAAATGATTATAAACTTTTTCCTTTATAGCTTGTATTACTTATCATATTTCTGAATTATATTCATAAGATAACTTCACCGTTATTCGTTCGTAAAATCGAATTCACATCGCAAACTTATACATATATAGGTAGGTATATGGATATATTTTCTCAGAAACATTTACGATACCTTCGCTACAGTTATGTAGACGCATTTCTCTGCCTCTCTCTCGCTCTCTCTTCTCTATCATATTAATTAGTTACGCCATCAAAATAGGTGTATCCCGCCTCACGACGACGTGCTTTCGGTGATATTACGCCTTCAGAAATTATGGTTTCAGCAATTGACAGGCATCTACTGAATGCGTGCAATCAGTCGTAATCACTCGTGTATATATGCGGCGTGTACTCCCGCAAAATTTTACGCGCGCTATGAAGTATCGAAGGACTACGTCACTCTCTTTGCAGTTTTCTTCCATTTCGATAATGGCTTTTTTGCAATCAGTCACCGCCCGGCTTTTTGTACTCGCCTCCCTCGCATAACGGGCCAACTTTACGCGGACGGAAGAGCGAGGGCTTTCTTTTTTTGTTTGAGCGAGATACCGAAAGAATGCATTCAACGCGCGGAGAGATATCCTGGCGAGAGGCGTATAATGCGCTTTATTGTCCGCGACGCTACATCTATGTATGTATGTGGTTCTTCTCCCTCTATCTACGTAAAAATAATCGCGGAATAAAAGCGCATAATGACCCACCGCCACTACATATACCGCCGCGCCAAAACCGAGGGAGAAAACGAAAGGAGGACGAAGAATTTCGTTAAAGCACTCCGTCATGCTGGCTCGAAAAAATTCGTTATTGTATCTCATCGTTAAATTAAGAAAATTAAGCCACTCGTCCAGGTACTCTCTATACGAATCGCTTCGAACACGTTGTTCCTCCCCCTCCTCTCTCCCCCTCCCCTAAAAAAGTCGATCGATCGCGCATCGTAATTCCGCCTCGTAAGAACGAGGCTTTGATTAAATGCAATGCTGAATTGATCACGCGTAACGACGCGAGAGCTTTCGCATCTTGACTGACTCTGATGAGACAATTTGAATAATAGCGATGGCTCTTGACTTGGGAAAAAGTGTCAACTTCCAATCTCGTCGCATCGAGAATCCTCTCGACTGGTTTCTCGAGATCGAACTCTGTCGTCGGGAAAACGAGGGACCTATCCTACGAGGGGAGTTATCCTAACTCGTATTCACTCATTCCACACTCGTCGAATTGCCATCGCGAGAACAACAAGAACGAGAACTCGTCGGCGCCGACCGCACAATTAGCGTTAATCCTCGTTAATCCGCATCGCTTCAATCTGCATGCCTTTGTCCGTCCTTCCCTGCAACTTGACTACGTGAATACGTGAAGGATCATGTATACGGGATTAGAGTTCGTATATACGAGAGTGCGGAATCAATGCACCGTGTAGCGAGGCAATAGTGATGACGTTAAGAAATGAAAGGTCGAAGGTAAGCGAGATAAGATGTAGTTTATCCCGCGAGTCTGGCCATTAATACTTCAGCTTCATATATTTACGGCACCAATCAATACCCTATTCCTACCTCACTCCGTGCCGGAAGTGACCCAGATACGCGAAGACCAGGCAACAGTTTAAGGTCTCGGTGTGCGCTGCAACGGGAATATGTGACAAGTTCTGCCGCTTGGGTCACGATAAACACACAACGTAACGAAGTGGAGGCACTTTGCAGCACCGCCTGTTGTTAACGCTACTCCTCTAAAACCCACTTCTATCAGCCGTACTTTGCATCATTTTATGATTATGATATTGTAATAATAAAAACGTAAACGTTCGTTTTCATAATTGATTTCTTATTTATCCTTTCACCCTGGAATTTCATACATATATATATATATATATATTTTTTTTTTTGAAGATTGAAACGCAACACAACATCGGCGACATTCGATAGATCAAATGCCGCTGATGTGGCTTATCGAACTGCCGGCGGAACAGAAAAATGCAGAAGTACAGAGCGTGCTATGGTACACCGCCTAAAAAGACGGGTTGCAGTTTTGTCCAATCAAGTGGTCCTATTGGCACACGTCGTTGGCTCGTAACCAAAGCCATGATCGATCTCTATTTGTATCGGGCCGGGCAATCGGATATTGGCCGATGAACATACGAAAAAGAGGAAGGCGTCGACCAAGGCAGCAAAATGGTAGATGTAAGCAAGAGATATCGCGGCGGGTGTGGTAATGTTTTACCAAGTCCGTAAATAATATTTGAAATCGATGTTATCTGCGGCTTTACGGGGAGTACAATATAGTCTTATTTTAATTACGACACGCTATCGACAACGGATACCAAAGTATCGACAATGGACATCTGAAATCGGGAAATGACAAATCGCGAAAGTATATGTGACGGCACGAGGAATACAACACGTGTACATGAAAGGCGAAATAGAAGCGCAAACTGCACCGCGGGACCGCCGTCGTTGCGTCGTTCGTCGCGCTCATTGTTGCCATAATCTGGCCGGGCTAGGCCCATTGTTTGTCATCCAATCTTTCCGCTGAATTTCCATCACGGACAATGGTGGCGGTGCTTTATAAGTCGTGCGAATTACATGGGCGAACGCTGCTCGTAAATATAACCGGTGAATCGTGAAAAAGCGCGCCGCCATGCTCGCTCTCTTTGCGTTGTTGAGCGATGCTTCATATCCTCTCGGCTTTACGCTGCTCGTCAACGAATGAGGAACGCGCGCCTATTTTACTCATTTTCTGATTTGCACAGAAATTATATTTATCATCAGAAATTAAACAAGTAGAAGGGAAAACAACTAATTTGGAAATATAACTTTTTGCAAAAGTAGATTAATACAACGAAATGCGGAAAGAAAGAAAGAACGCGATTTATTGTTATACCTTTATCTCGCTTGGTGACTACCAGAGAAAAAGAGAGAATATAAGAAAGAAGGAAAAGAGAGAAACTCCAATTCCATTCTGTTTCCTAGCCTATATAACCTCGTGTGTTCTCGACGGCAGAAGTTCTTCCTTCGGTTCCGAAAATCATCTTTATCGAGATAGGTAGGCGATAAAAAGTGGAGAATTCATGCGGGACAGCCGGAGCGGATTCGTCGATAACTGCCAGCGCGTAGATGGGTAACGGGCGGCTTATACGTGTACCCGCGCGCGAGAGGAGAGTACACGAGAGAGTCGCGGCCCCCGCTCGTAAATCAGCGGAATTTCGCAACCGTTCCGGGACAATTTTATGATTTAATCCAGTGAATGCGTGAAGGCTGTGGTCGCGAACGGGCGAACGAGGACAGCGGGTGAAAACGCGAGAGGCCGTCGCTTGCACGGCCGTATATCGGGTGCACTCCTCGAGATGAATTTCCCGCGCGCAACGCGGCGGCATAGTAACCGCGAGAGTGAAAAACCTCTGCGGCCGACTGCGAGCTGTGCGGTATAACGGGAAACGCACTCGCGCTTGTTCTCGAATTTTCCCATCGGACGCGCGTTGCACTCTGCGGCCGCGCGGTCCACCGGTATACGCGGCTGTATCACGATAAGGCGCGATAATAAAATCTCGATTAGGATCTACATTGGAAATTTAATTAACTCGAGGCGGATGGCCGCGCGCGCTCCTGTAAATTGCATTTTATTATATCGGAAATCGATTTTTTTTTTAAAAACCTACGTTTCGCTATTTAACACCTTCCGTTCAACGTCAGAGGCGGATATTTGCTGCCAATGTTATATTATCTATAGTCTGAGGATAAGTATGCTGATTTATTAATGGGCCGACTTAGCTTCGCGCGCATGAGGTCTCGCGCACGGAAATTAATTTAGCTCGTCTCTCTCTGTCTCTCTTTCTCTCTCTCTCTTAACCGCGGCGCAGGGATCCGCGATGGCAGTGTATATGCGTTACATTTTTGCCGATAATGTTAACGTTAAGCTCGAACTGTCGCGTGCTCGCATTAAAGGGTATTTCAATGCTGACGTCGCACGAAATGACGAATCGAATAGAGCCGCGATTACCTTGAACAGAGATTACGATACATTGCGATAGGAGAGAAGACGTGTCGACTTATACGAAGAGAAAGAGAAAGAGAGGAGAGAGATCATGCAATGACGAGGATCGGTCGCGTGACGGACGAGCCTCGGGACCCCCGAGCGAAAGGTTTCTCGCATTCGGTAAATCGCAAATCGAATTAAGCTCTCAGCCGGCACGCTATCCTCGATCCGAAATGTCGTGGACGTATAAAAGGGAGCGATAACGGCGCGGCCGGACAAGTGAGTTGCGGAACGTGCGCCCATCCCCTTCGCACCGCGTCTCACTTCAATCTAGGAACCTCTCACGGCTATTACATACGGCTTTAAAGTGTACATCTCGTCCGGGGGATTCGTCGTCGTCGTCGTCGTCGTCGTCGTCGTCGTCGTCTGTGCCCCCCAGCATCAGACAAGTTAGTCGGGCCGCAAGAAAAAGAAGAAAAATCGTCCCACGTATCGATAACGTCCGTCCGGTCGTTCCTGTTCGCAAGTTAACTCGGGGAAAACTAGCCGACAAACTTCAGCAAGGGGGGACGGTTGCGTCAAACGGTGCATCGACCGCGCACTTGTCAGTCCGCGACTCAACTTACGTCGAAGGATGTTGATGCACAACGGTAGTGGTATCGTGGCTGGGCCATTGGCTTTCGCCAGCAGAGTCGGGTAGGTGCGGCGCTATATACGCCGTGTTTCCGTACCGTTCTCCTCATAATCATCCGACATTGTGTGGCGGCTGAGAAGCGCCGCTGGTAATATTCGCGGCACGAGGGAGAATGTGGAAGCGGAGAAGTCGGTGCGAGCGAGAGGCACGAAAGTTCTCAGTGAGCGCATGTACACAACGTGCTCGCAACGTAGATGCGTTTCATTCGCGAATAAGATCGCGATGCGATAAGGGAGGGCTTACGGAGCTCTTACAGCTCCCGGAGAATAGACAGGCTATCAAATCATGCGCGCATTACGGCGTTACGCTGCTACTTCGATCTTTCGATAAGCCGGGAGGACTAATAATCACTCGACATCCCAATTAGCGCACAGGCCGGATTTAATCCACCCGATGGTGCATCCGCACGGATTCTCATCACCATTATTGTTCGCCACACGTGAAAGCCGCGTCATTTTCCGCGCGGTGAATGAGAAATCCTTTTTCTGCAAATAGCCCCCGGTGCAGATGGTGCAACAACGAAGATAACAATGCTATCGATAATAATGTATATAACGTCGGCTGCACGCGGATGAGGTTTCGCGATATTATTCGCTCCGGTACAAGTCTCGGTTATACGAGATTAATGTATATAATGTTCGAGCTCGCTCGTGCTCGAGTCGATAGCGGGTCGAAAACTTTTCGTGACGTTATGCCCCATTCGATCGTATCGGCGGCGATTTTATCATCGGGACTCGAATTTGCCGCGCGTAAATGGATCACGTCCACGTTGCGTCGCACCGCGATCGATGTAGCGAATTTACGGGTCGTCTTACTCGGGAAAGTCGCAATTCTTATCGTCGACGCGAAAGCTATTTGTCCTACAACCTTTACATTTGCGATGTCGTGACGGAGTAATAATGCCGGTCACGAAGGAAGCGACAGAAATTACCCTCATAGGTCTTATGGAAATTCTTGGCTGCCCGTTTAATCTTTGTAGATAGCGATTTAGGATTTTGCTTTATTATTGCGTTTTGATCGAATTAAAAAAAAATTAAAAAATTTTTTACCACCAAAACGGGTCTTGCATAAATAATCACTTTTCTTGTTTTAAACTTTCCAAGTATTCTTAATTATTCGACATTAATTATCGTGATAGATTCTTCGTCAGATTCATAATCAGCTTTGCCTTACAATGCATTTTGGAAGATATTTTTCCAGTATTTAACATAAAGCTATCGCGATAATTAAACATTGGATTAAAATTCTGAGAGAATCAAATCCACTGAATTTTAACGAACAATATAAGCTTCCGTTATTTAATTTATAGAGGTTTTATTCGTCGTGATCGGAGAATTTCACAAATTTCAATAACTTCATATAATCAAATATTGATTGGCTGGTGTATTTTTAAATAACAGAGATGTACAGCCGCTGCAAGAACGTTTTTTAGGATGGAACTTCCCCGCCGAGCACGCGGACCTCGTGCACCCGCATTGGCATGTATTCCTCGCACCCGGAAGACTATGGCACGTCGCCCTCGCGCTCATTTACCTTTTGCTCCTGATGCTGTCCCTCGTAGGAAACGGCATCGTTATTTGGATTTTTAGCACGTAAGTCCGAATCATTTAAGAAAATTTCGTAAGACAACTTGATGAAGATTAATATATTAAAAAGAGCATAATTAAATATTAAAAATTACAATAATTGTGAGCAATATAATAAAAAGAATCCGACTAATAATTACATAATACATTTTAAAAATATATGTATATTTTATTAGTTTGTCTAGATATTTATTCTGTCTAGACTTACGTGATAATTGTATATAATTAAGGCGCACAATTGAAGCATAAACAGCACACAAATAAAGCTATTTTCAATTTTCTAATTTTTTAAAAGATTATTAAACTGGATTATTTTGAATTTATGCATATTTATTGATATTGTAAATGCTCGTAAGATTTATTTTTATTTTTGCTAAATTAGATTGTAACTTTAATTCGATTTTTTTTTAAGTTTTTTATTATAGTTTCTTGCACAATCTCTTGCAAAAACGGATGTATATATAGATGTATATCAGAATATAATGAGTTAGGATTCGGGTTCACTAAACTATTTGAATCAATCATCCCTACAGGGTGCTGGTAAGACCGACAAAATGGTGGTGCTGTCGCCATCTTTATACGTGAGACCGAATCGCTTCGGCACAGTCTCTGCGACATACGATAGAAAATATTACCTACATCTTATCATACTTTTTCTCTTAAAAAAATGATCTTTTTTAAAATCAATCAATACTTTTTGTGTGTAAAGTGGAGATTTGTTTTAAAATATTAATTTGTTTTAATATATTAATTCCTAGATCGAAATCACTGAGGACACCATCGAACATGTTCATCTTGAATTTGGCCGTGTTCGACCTGCTGATGGCAACGGAGATGCCTATGCTGATCATAAACAGCTTCCTGGAGCGAACGATTGGTTGGGAGACCGGATGCGACGTATATGCTTTGCTCGGCGCGATTTCCGGGATGGGACAAGCGATCACGAACGCGGCGATCGCATTCGATCGATACAGGTCGGCATGCGCGATTCGGTTTTGATAGCTCTTTCTGATTATTACCGAGCAATTTTTATTGGATTTTTATTGGATCTATTACTGAACAATTGCGAAAGCGGTTACAAGCTCGTTAAAATTTAACGACTTGTGCATTGTCGTAAACGACTATATGTCGACGTGATAGCGATAATAGACTTGGGAAGACGAAAAATTTTACGATCTAGTGAACGAGATTTGTCTTAAGGCAATTTGTAATCGTTAATAACGACGGAATTGTAACTGTTTTATTATACTATCTTGATATTACAGAACAATTAGCTGTCCGATTGACGGTAGATTGAGTGGAAAACAAGCTATGGTGCTAGTTCTGCTTACATGGTTTTGGGCACTACCATTCTCGATATTGCCTATGACGGGGCTGTGGGGTCGGTATGTGGCAGGTAATCAGGTTCCTTTTATTTTATTGCTAGGAAAGTAATTAGATTTAATAAAGTACTAGACTTAAGACAGATTTAATAAAGTAAAATTTAATAAAATTTTATTCCCGTACTTAAGCTTCGTATTTAATTCATATAATTAACTTATATTTTCATTTCGAGTACAATTTCGCATTGCCCTTCTTAAGATTTTCGAGATTAAGATAAAACGTATTTCGGGATAATTTTATTCGATTTCCTAATAAAGAGATATATGAATCACTCCAGATGGAAACGTTCAGTAAATACCGTACACTTTTCAGAGGGTTTTCTCACCACATGTAGCTTCGATTATCTCACGGACAACGAGGACACGAGGACGTTCACGATAACGATATTCTTCTGGGCGTATGTTCTTCCTATGCTGCTAATTATATACTTCTATTCGCAATTGCTGAAGTCTATTCGTACTCACGAAAAAATGCTCCGCGATCAAGTAAGAAGAAATTTTGTGATTCGTGCAGTGAACAAACATCGATCCTGAGCTTCCGTATAAAGCGCAGAGAATTCATTTTCGCGTACTATGTGTTTCACAGGCTAAAAAGATGAACGTCAAGTCACTCGTATCAAACCAGGACAAAGAGAGGAGCGTTGAGATGAGAATCGCGAAAGCCGCATTTACGATATTCTTCCTCTTTTTACTTGCGTGGACACCTTACGCGGTTGTCGCTTTAACTGGAGCCTATGGAAATCGGTAACAGAAACTTGAAAAATATCCCTCAATTCGAAAAATCTTCTACTTTTACATTCAATTCATTTTACATGCTCCAGCGAAGTGCTTACTCCGCTGTCGACTATGTTACCAGCCATATTCGCCAAGACGGTGTCGTGCATCGATCCATGGATATACGCAATCAACCATCCTAGGTAACGTATTCATACTCTACCATTTTGTCATTTCTAATGGAATTTTATAAAATATACGGCGCAATCGTTATAATTTCGATAATCAATGAGATCGAAAATTAAATTCCGAATAAATAATTGTAATTTTTCGATTAAGCGATGAGGAAAAATGTGTGTTGTAACAGGTATCGACAAGAACTGCAAAAGCGCTGCAAATGGATGGGAATCCGAGAAAAAGTGGCCGAGGATACCGTATCGGCGCAGACAGAGAAAATAAACGCGGAAGAAACGTAATCTTACTGTTAATCAACATTAATGACTGTTGTCGAGAGGACATCGATCGATCGCAGTGCATTCGCACCACAAATGCAACTTCGACCGATCGCCTAGATTTTTTTTAATACATCTCATTAAAAAGATAACCGGACGGAAACTTCGTTTCATGATATGACTATGTGGCTTCTATGTGAATTTTACGTGAATAAAAAAGGAATACAAATTTTAGTTTATATGTATTAAGCTATTACTACAAATATAATCACAGCAAAATAAATAAGATCTTTTTTCATTTTCCCCTCAACTATTCCACAATAATAGATCTCGGCGTAATTAAAATTTTTCCTTAATTATTCACTTGCTGTCATGCTTTCTGTAGTCTACCAAAGATGGCAGAGTACGAAAGTCCGTTCTGTGCTGCCATCCCCCGTCGTGCTGGCCTATTTTTTATTGATTTTGGATTAAAAATTTCAAAGCATTTCATCGCTAATTGCTTATTTATCTCGCTCTTATTAATAGTGAAAAATGGCTGCAATTAGGAACAATATAACCGCAAAATTTATTAAAATCCAAATATAGAGCTTCTAAAAATTGTATCTTTAAGTATCATCGAATAAAGATACCTGTTATTTTATTCTCTCATTTCTGTAATATCTCGCAATTCGTATCAAGAAAATTTAAAGCTAAATAAAATATTTTTTAATTTTTATAAAGTTTTTCTCGCAAATTGGATTCGACATAAAAAAGTTATAAATAAAACAGTTGAGTATACGGCTCTTCTACCGACATTCTAAGGATCAAGTCATTTCAAGGATCACGAATCCGTCGTTTGAGGTGGTGTAAATTTTCTGTCCGCGCGCGACCGGAGAGCGACTTATCTATCAGGTGTGAATAGAGTGGATAGAGATCTCTTTCTGTCCACCGAGAGTGGAGAAACATTGTCTTATCTCGGAACGAGGTCACGTGCCACCCGAAGCGCGGAAGAAACCCGGATAGAAAAGAAAGTCGGCGTGAGGAGAGCGTGAACGGAAGAAGGGTGGAAGAGAAAAAAAAAAAGACGAGCGCGCAGCTCGAAGACAGCTCCGAGGAATACCACGGCACGTTCGCGTTTATGTGTTATCTTTTAGTCCGGGAAAAATATTGTCCTACAAATCAACTCCGGCTGAGAAATTGCTCGCTCGTGAGGAGACCGAGGGCCTCTGGTAGTCGTTGATCGTCCGAATTTTTATCTCGCGAATCGAATTAGTTCTCCATGATAAGCCTGATACTGAACTGTATAAAAAATAGATTGCGGCCTGCGCGGAGTAACGCGGTAATTCGAACGTCGTTCTGCACGAAAGTCTTATACTCGCCCGGCGTAAAGATTCGCGTATAACGTGGGCTCTCCTTTATGCGCTAATATCACTGACGAGACGTATCCTTTTTTACGAGGCAGCCTTTGGACGCGCGCTTGTTACGAAAAAATTGAGAGGATCTCCTTACTCTCTCGTTATCTCGATCCCCTTGACTCGCCCCGCACGTTTCCTTCTTCCACCGGAGGGAGAGTGATACGCTGTATGAGTAGCGTCCGCAGAAAATCTCGATGGCACTCCACATGTGTCACGAAACATGTTTCCGGAATATATTTCGCGAAAAACCAGTTGTATGCCGTATCTGTTATCTCGTACATACTTCATGTTATCTTCTTAGTATTTCAGAGAATTTAAACTCTGCTCGGTAATATTAAATATAAAATTTTTAATAATTATCTTCTTACTTAATTTAGACTTTATTTTTAGCAATAATGAATAAACGTGATAATGTAGGTTTTACGAAAAATTGCAGTTAGCTAAAATCTATCGATCGTTTCTCGATATTCATAAATAATTAATAGAAATAATAATAATTATTATTATTATTATATTATTTATTTGATATGGTTAGAAACTGCCAACGTTAATCGTGAAGCATATCGCGGAAAATAATCATCGTAAAAGTTGGTCGTCTAAACATTCAACTTTAAGAATACCATGAGACCGGGCGAGTAAGCTCGGTTGATCTTGGATACTGCACAACGTATTTTTTTCTCGCGATTGTCTGGAAAGACGATCGCAGAAGGAACAAAGGTAATGAATAACGCGCGACAGCGTGCTAACTTACTGTCTAACTTTCTTGCGAGCAAGAAACATTGCTCCATGAATACGCGGAGCGACTCGGTCTCGTGAAATATGTACAACTACCGAAGCGCAGCGAGGAACTTTGAAATCTGACGGACGGAGCCTAGAAAGAATCGCGTTCTCTTTCGAGAAGAACATTGTGCCAGAGTAATATTTTTATTCGCCAAAGAGAGAACGCGCCGCGCGCTTTACTTGCTCCAAGACTTTGACTGCGGACGTAGCTTCTACGGAAGATTAAGGCGGGATAATACTGACTTTTCGCGGTACGTCATCCCGCCGTTCGTCGTTTGCCGATGAATTTTCCGTCGAATTTTCGCGTACATCCGATCGAACAGTTAGAACGATTTCAACCGATCGGGTCGGATCGGGTTGACGCAAAAAGGTGCTAATTGGACGTAGTACGATTTCGGCTAATCCCGGTCAATCGGCGCGTTGTCGATAATTGTTTCCATCGCCGGTATCCTAATCCATCAGGGAAGACAAGGTGATTACGTGCCCGACGCGTTCGCCGTTCGGTCGAGAAAGTTTAGTCCAGTCCATGAAACGGCAGTGAATCGTGAACTGCGCGCGGCGCGGATCATTGGGCAGTAGGCGGGCTTCACAGACATCCCGGGTAGTTTGGTTAATATGCAGTTAGTACGTCATTTGTTTCTCGCCGCCGGGAGGGCTTATCATAATCTCTGACGTCACGGCATCCCCCTCGGATCTCCGGCTGTTATCGCGATGGTTGGGTAACCATGCGCTATAATACCGACCTGCAGCGCGCGTGGTCGATTCTTCGAGGATCCCCCGAGAAGGACCGCTTCGCTTTCATTATCGACGAAAGTAAGTCGCGCGGCGCGTCAACGTAACGAAATACTGAAAATGTCGGAAGGAGTTTATTCGCGCACCGTGCCATGGATGGATGGAGTTCGCCGTCGGGAAAAACCGCCGAAGCATCAACTAACTGAGTTAAAGGGGAAAAGTTTTCGATCTCGGTGAACACGCAAAACGCGACTTAACTCTTCTGCTCCCACCGTCCGTTGCCCTCCGTCACTTTTTACGAAAGCGCGTTTGTCGTCGTCACGCCGCCCGCCGCGGCCGACCGGTCGGTGCAGTCTACCGGGAAATATATATGCGGGCCATTGAATGACAGGATTTCCAATCAGCAGAAATCCTATCGCGCGACAAGGCGACTCTCGGCAACCGGCGCGGGGCAACTCGCCCCACGATTTTCCGGGCGTTCCTTTTTCGTTCCCGGCGCTTTCGACTTACGTACAATCAAAGTTTTCCGCGCCAAGTCTGCGCGACGACGACAACGACAACGGCGCGAGGAACAGCGACGGCGCCGACGAGCGCGGAGAAGAATGAGAAGAGCGGTAGGAAAAAGGTGGAGCCAAACCAAAGGGGGGTGGAAGGGGGGAGGGGAAGCGAGGAGATAGTGGCGAGAAAGAACGCTATAGCTATAGAGTTCGGCAGGACGGTAGACTCAAGAATCGAGAAAATCCTTGATTAGATGTTCGCGTCAAAGGAACTCGTCGCTCGCCCGAGAGTCGAGGTAAGGGAGAGAAGAAAGAGCGAGGGACTGAGGGAAAAAGGTGGCCGTCGTCGTCGCGTTGCACCGCGGCTCGATCTGGAAGGCGAATTAAAAATAGTCTCCAACTACGGACGCGTCGTGCAGGAATCGATTGCCGTTTCTGTCTATTGCCGTCGAGAGTAAGCGAGCGGAGGGTGAAAGAAGTGAGAGGACCCCGCGCCTTTCGAAAGCGGAATGGAATCATCTAACTCCCGTTCAAGATACGTCCCGTTCCGTCCTATTTCCTGAGGTCGCGCCGAGCGACGGCCAGTTATGGATGTTGAAAATTCAATTACGCGGGATTTATGGCTGCCGGCGCTGGGCATATTTATTATCGCACTATCCCCTTCTGTAACTTCCGTTATCCTCTGCGCGCTCCCATCCGCCATCGCCCCACCAATGACGTCCGCTTCCCATGACGCCGATGATTAAATAGAAATTCATCCGCTACACCGAATAATCGATGGACGATTCTCGTTGCATCGGTGGAAAAAAACACCGTCGTAATTGACGTTATAAACTTCGTACTTTGATGATAATATTATACAATGTAGTTGAAGTTTAAAGCGTTTCTTCTTGGAAAAATAAAAATCAACTCAAATTCAACAGGCTTATAAAAATAAATACATCTAAAACAATAAAATTATAACAAAAGGCAAATAAAATTTAAAATAAATATTTATAATACATATATACAGTATGTATGTGGATATTTTGGCACAAAGCGCAGGAATAATCACCTTGTCGGAATTTCTTGTTTTTCAAACAAATATGTCTTTTTAATTTCTTTCAGTTGATTTTTAATTTTCGCTCTAAAAAGAAATTTTCCAAACTTCAACTACACAATATTACGTTCATAGAAATTCGACTATCAAAGGAAGAAATGCGTGAGATAACGATACATGAAAATTTATGATCATTTCAAGAATCCGGTATTTGAGCTATAGAAATTGAACTTGATTCAATTGTGCACTTTTCGACTGTTCGCATTGGCATTGCGATTACCTGACTAATATTCGCGTCAGTACATTCACCGCATATGCTTCCCTCGAATGAATATGAGCGAAGTTGACACTATGAAGGGGATATGCACAACGGTGGCATTATTAAATATACAATGCGTAGCACCTAATGACGTGACAATGTACATATTATTATTAATTTGTACATAATTAATGGATACCGTATTTCGATTCCGATCGCGACGCAAACCGCTCGCCGCAGCGGTTTCATATGGTCGGCGCTTTTAGGCAAAAACGATATATATCCCTCCGCCGGATACAAACGGAATAAATTTGCTTAATCGCGGTGCTCATTAGCGCCCGAACTTTAGTCTATGCGGAGCGCTATCGTGTTACTCACCGTGGAATTACGTTCACTCTTTTATACGCGCTGCTGCGGCTTATCGATTGCGTATCTTTAGTTTAAAATTATGAGATCCATTATTTCGGATCGCGATAATGAAAAAGTATACGACTATGGATGTGCTTTATAGTCAAATGTCGCGCTTTGAAAGTCGTCTGTGAAATAAGTCCGTGTCTTTTTCTGCTCCTCGCGGATGTACTT